TTTCACTCTTTCCTGATCAATTTTATTTTGGAATTTCCAAATAAATTTCTAACAAAATTATCGAAGTGTTCCAGATGAAGTTCCTTGCATCTCATCTTTCGATGGCAAAACATATCTGGGAATGAAATGAACTAGACACAACAATGAAGAACTAAAACTTTTAAGAAATCTGGAATCAACAGAAAATCCCACCAAGAAGCACAAGCTTTCCAATCATCATCGTTGGCTATTTGCATCTTAAACTCCTAAATAACGCTCTCAGATTCCGAAACTCAATCCACATCTCTAAATTTCCGAGCTAACCCACCCAACCAGAATTTCTAACAAAGGAGTTTCCGTGCACCTAAGTTTGACCAGAAACTTTCTCGACAACCAAACACTGCAGTAACAAACCAAGAAAACGAAACAAATACCCAAAAGCAAACACACTTACAGTAAACGTGGAAGGGGAGTGGGAGAGCAATAGAGACTTAAGCCAGCCATTTCCATGCAGTCGGAGCCTGGAAAGTGGGAAAGATGTTATCAGGGGGGAGGGTCCGATGATACTCGGGGCGCTCGTCAACTACCGTCACCATGGATGATTGATGCGAAAGAGAAAAGGATATTACTGTTGCAATCCGTGTGGATGCTTCCACCTTTAGCTGACGTGGCTAATTTTTGCTTTCCGGATTCGGATATATTACCTTTTTTATTTTTTTAATTCCACGTCATCATTTTCCTTTTTCTTTTTTCCAGACTAAGCATTTGTTTTTTTAACTAATTTATAAATTTATTCATAAGTATTTATTTTCCTATAATGCTATTACTATTTCTACTTTTTTTTTTTAATTTCTCCTTAAATTTTATAGTTTCTGAATAAAATATATAAATATTTAAAAATAATAATACATTCCACTCTAAATTTTTAATATTATAATAAACAAAAAAAAAATGTAATATCTCCAAAATTCAAACACTCTTAATTTTTTTAAAGTAATTTGTTAATGGGTTTGTCAGCCCATCATTCTTCTATAATTTAGCTGGGCCCAATATGGTAAAAAGCTGAGCCCATTAAAGACCATACTGATTGCTTCAATGGGCCGGGTCGGCCCAATTGGACCCATTTGACAAGTACTTAGAAAAAAATAAAATGAATCGTAACGAAAAATAAAATTTACCGACAATATTGTAGAAAGTGTCAAATATCGGAGACTAATTTAATAATTTATCTTTACGTGCTAAATAGCATAATCAGTATGCCATTAGATATTCTTGAAAGATTTTTTTTTTTTTTTATTTATTATAATGAAAGTATTAAAAAGAGATATTGTAATATAAAGAGGTATACGAAACTCTCTTTTATAATTATAAAGAATTATGTACATATCTATATAGATACATAAACATATATATATATATATGTGTGTGTGTACATGTAGCTTTATTTATAATTATAAAGTTTGAATAAAGAAACATTTTCTTGAAATAATAGAAGAAGAAAAAGTCATAATCAAGATTCTACTTTCCAACTTATATTAGCCTTTGAACATCACCACCACTCACACCCAAGAGAAAGTAGATAAAGAGAGAAAATATAAAATAAAAGCTGCCTACCATTAAGGGCTCTACACTCTATAAAAGCACAATCACCTAATCAAATCTTTTCTTCACTTTGCCTTTTGTAATTTTCTTTCCATATTTCTTTGTTTTCTTCCCTACCATTAGATTCTCCACATACACACATATAGGGGTACCAAAGTCCATATATATATATATATATATATATATATATATATATATACACACATACATTTTTGAGTGATGTATACTTCCGTCGTGCCTTTAAATTACTTTTAATATAGTACAATGTGATGATATATATGTTTAATA